AAAACACCCAAGAGGGCATGAAGTCAACTTGACGGAAGGATCAAAAGCAAGCCGCAGATCGAGAATTCTTCAGAAGAAACAAAAACCAGAGCACAGTAATTTATAGAAGCATGGGACACAAATCCCTTGAGCGGACTCTCTTGTCCTTCTGTAAAATTAGTACAGCAAGCACTGCATCATTCAGGAAAAAGACTCAACAGCCAACGCTAGCCAGCCATAATATTTAGCAATAATTTATATCAGAAAAGCTTATCTGAAATATTATTAAACAACTTATCCACACCACTCACCTTGAAAACAACACATTTGCCTTGGCTTTAATTATCTGTTAATAAAGAAACTTCTTTTCGGTTTTTTTTTTTCCTCATGATGAAAGCACTTCCGTCACTAACCTGTCTCAATTCACCACTGGGGTCAGTGGCCGCCTCTGCCAATTTTTCCATTCTGTGACTTTTTTTCTTCATTTTCTCACCTCTCCTCCCCTCCAACAACTCTATCACAAGCTTCTCCACATTGTCTCAATTTCAACTCCCCATTCAGTGCGTGTATACTCACAGTTTGTTCATTGATCACCAGAGAATGGCCAATATATATATATATATATCCTTCCACTATTTAAGAGTGTTTTAAGGGTGTATTTGGTGTTGTAGTTGATAGTGTAATTGTGGTATAAAAAAATTAATTTATAAAAAGTAATTTTGGTTGAGGTTAATTTGATGTTAAAACTGTGATTGAAATTAAAGTTGAACAAAAAATAGTTTAATATGTTTAGTTAATAATATTTTTGAAATTAAGATTATAAAATAATTTTAAATATATATATATTAATGATTTTTAATTTAAATATTATAAGTTTAACTATTGTTATTACGTCATGAAATAAATAATATTTTATATAAAATATTTTTTATTATTTTATTAAATTATCTATAATTCTATCATATATAAAATACATCCAATAAGGACTATAATTTTTTTAATTTTTTTAAGCGCATAACAACATCAGGTAAAATATAATCAGGAACAAAATTGAAATTAAAATTAAATTTTGTAAATGTTACGTTATCAAGCGATCTTTATCTAATTTATGTAATATAATTAAATAATATTAAATACTAATTTTTTAAATAAAACATAATTAAAAATAAAAAATAAATTTTATTTTTATTTTACTAGATTAGACTTGGTTCAATGCATATTGAGCTTTGAATCAGACCCATTCCAGCCAAAACTGATTCGATCAGAGAGCTTGCTATACTATTCATACTAATTATATTATTCAGCAAATAATTCAATTAAAATGGATAATGCTCGTGAACCAGCAATTACTTGTTTTTTTTCTTGTATTTCAAACATAAAAAGATTGTGGGACCTATAAATAAGAATTGTGTTTTTCTTATCCTAAAAAGGTTGTATTTGTGTTTTAAACAAAAAGCAAGCACAACTTTTTAACCATATATCCTCCTAGTGAAGTGAGTATATAATAAAGAAAATAAAAAATTATAGTAATTTATGCTCTGTTTTATCATACGATAAAAACTTTTAATACACTATAAAAGCTGGAAAAAGAAATAAAAAGCTAATAACCACCTTGTTTTATGAATTCATTCAAGTGGCTTGCAACATACATTTAGTCCTCACATTTATCAGTTTTGAAGGATAAAAGACTACTAAATTAAACATGGTGGTCAAGGGACTATTTGATTTATTTTCGATATCACAGGGAATAATTAATTTTTTTCTTATAACATTTAGTGATTGAGTTATAATTAACTCACAAAATGTGGAACTTTTAATTGGAGTCATTGTCTGATCTTTAATTTTGTCAAATGCAAAGGAATCTAAAGACACATGTTTTATTTATTCCTATTCTTAAAACATTTTTCTCCTATAAAGCTAAAAATACAATTAGAAAAGTATGATGTTTGGTATTGAAATTGAACCCCTTTTTAATTAAAATTTTTATTTTATTTTAAATTAAATTTTTTAGTGTTTTTAGATTGTTTTGATGCATTGATATTAAATATAAATTTTTTAAAATAAAAAAATATTATTTTAATATATTTTTAAATAAAAATACATTTCAAAAAATAAACTCGATGAATCTACCCTTAAAAGTCACAGCATCCCCAACTTAGCGGAAGAGTCTAAAGCAAACAGCAGACAACGTTTAGAAACAAGAACCATAAAATAATTACATAATCAGAGAGTGAGTATAATCATACGTTTTCTGTCTTTCTCTTTGAAAATTGAGGCACAGAGAGAGAAAGGAGAGAGAACTCGCAGGAGAGAGGGCTTGAGCCGGAAGGGAAAAAAACTGATGCACAGAGGGAGTGTTTCCTGCCGAGAGGGAGCACTGCTTGGTTTATTTTTATAAATTAAAAATTTAATAACGTTACAATCAGAAAAATTGTTGTGTAAATTTAAAAATTTATAGAATTAATTTAAAATAGTATGTAAGACTATTTAAATAGAAAATCCTCAAATCTAATTAAGAAAAATTTTTCCAAAACTAAGAAAATATATGTAAATTATTTGGCAATGCAAACACCATAATGACCTTGAAAATAATACATTTGTCTTGAGCTTTAATTATTTTTTTCTGATAAACAGACCATATTATTTTTATGACAAAAGCACTTCCGTCCCCAGCCTGTCTAAATTCATGGATGATGAACCACCGGGCCCAGTGGCCTCCTCGGCTAATTTTTTCCACTCCATGGCTGTATTCTTCATTTTCTTACCTTCTTCTCCTTCCATCATCTCTCTCACTTGTTGTTCCACATTTTCTCTCGTCACATTGCTATCAATCTCCATTCCAATTGCCCACTCATTGCATGTATATCGACAGTTTGTTTGCTGATCACCGAAGGATGGCCAACAAAGCATAGGGACGCCAGAAGAAATGCTCTCAATTACTGAGCTCCATCCACAATGTGTTAGAAAACCTCCAACTGATGGGTGGTCGAGGACTTCCTCTTGCGGACACCAGCTTGAAATAAAGCACCTGTCTTTAGTTTCTTCAGTGAATTCTGGCGGCAATATCGCACAGTCGCCAGCGATCATGTCAGGTCTTATGATCCACAAAAATGGGTGACCACTTTTTACAAGCCCCATTCCAAATTCAATGAGCTGCTGCTTTGTAGCGACCGCTACGCTACCAAAATTAACATAAACGACCGAGTTGGGTTTCTGGGAATCCAGCCATTGGAGACATTCAACTTCTTCTTTCCATAGATTACTTCCAATAGAATTCAGATCATCTTCTTGCATTTGATTGAGAAGCAATTGAAGTGGACCAATCGCATAGACGTGAGGAAACATGGAGTAAAAGTCATTCAGAACCTCTTGCTCCAATGCATCAAAAGTATGGAAAATAACGGCAGAACCTTCAGAAGCCCTCTCAGCACATTCCACGCAGAAGTTAAACATATAATCATTTGGATCTGTTGTTCGAACAAAACTTGGAAGGTCCCTTAACTTTATATCTCTCATTCCTGGGAGCCAATCTACTACTTTGTCCAAGTAACCATTTGTTAAAAAGCTCTCGTCTGCAAACAAAAATTGAACGTACATATAGCTTTTAGTAACTGAATAAAAGTGGCTGAAGAAACAGAGAAAAAATATATATACAAAAAGATTGTTTCCTTGTTTGTACTCCTAGTGAACAGAATGAATAATTAAGGGCACCAGTTTACTTACAGGAGAAAATATTTTGAATTAATGAAATAATCAAAAAAACCTTAATGAAATTATAATTACGTTTTTTTCCTTGTTCATACCTTCTAGAGGTGTCAGACCTTTTTCTTTGAGTGCTCGAAATTGTTTAGTCCCCATGAAGCTGCAAGCAGAGATGGTATAGAACAATGCAATAGGAATTTCGTGCATCGCAGCAGCATCAATAGCGACTGGCATGAAACCATCAGAGACGATGCAAGTCACTGGGGGGTTATCTGAAGATGCTGTGTCATTCAGCCTGTCAAGCAGGTCATTAAATGGACCCAATAAGTTCTTCCTGGAAGCCTCACAAATTGCACACGTGTTCTGGGTGACACTGTCATCCGAAGGAGGGAGGCCATCCGGAATGGATTCAAACCGAAAGTCGGGCAAACCTTTCATGGAATCAGGACCTCTAGATTTAAGTAAACGTCTGTGATTGAATTCTGTATTGACAAAGGTAATGTGAAAACCTTTGTCATGTAATAGTTTTGCTAGTTTAAGCGCTGACTTTATGTGGCTCTGAGCTGGGGTGGGAATGCAGACAGCATGAGGCTTATGATCAGCTGAAATATTGCAGGCCATCTCTCTAAATCCCCCCCCCCCCTTTATTTTTTGTCCTTTCTCTCTCTGTTTGCTCCCTTGTGTGCACAGAAGAGGTTCTGGTATTTGTATAGAGGAATGCTAAAATTTCTGCTGCAATTTTTTTTGTTTGAGTGGGAAAGGGAATCTAACTTAGAACCACACAGCCCTGCCTCCATCTCTTTATCTAGAGAACTTCTAATCTTGGCCACGTTCAGCAGCGTTGTGTTTTTTCCTCAGGAATCAACGTGGGGTTTTTATTGTGACATTAATGTAATCAAACCCTATTCTGAACCTTAGGGCATCTACAATTAGAGTTAATTTATCACCCTATGTTTATACAACGTTGCTGGTCAGTATAACTGTGTTGTCATGAGACCTTTTTTAAATTTATTTTTATTTAGTTTTGTGGTAATTAAAATATATGTATAGAAAAAGACAGCGATTTAATTAAATTCTCGAGTAGAAAATGTGTTTTTCTTCAGCAATATTCATGCTTTCTTTTTTCCCCAATAAAAACATGTCTTCTTTATTAGTTGCATTATTTTTCAATAAAAACTAAAAGCAATTAAAATAAATATTTTAAAAAACTTTAAATTATTTTAATTCAGGAGAAAAAAAACTTTAAATTATTTTAATTCAGGAGAAAAAATATATATATTAATCAAAACTGCCCTTTTCTTGTTCATGTATTTCTATTTCTTTTTAACAAAAATAATTTTTCTATCCAAAGCATCGTTTCTAAGGAAAATTATGATGAGCTTCATCTAATCCAATCAGGTAAATATTGAATGATGAGCTTCATCTAACCCAATCAGGTAAATATTGAAGCCCTAGATATAATCTGTGATATATGTTCATCATAAGCCCAAACCTTAAAGCCCAGGAAATAAATCACGAATCCTATCGTTACAGCATCAACAAAGGTCTCTCACCTAGCTCTTTCGCCACACGAAACTACCCCGCTTCCATTTTCGAAGACACAATACCGAGAAAGAAAAATGAAGCCTCGTCAAGAACAAGAAGAAGACGAAGAACGACTTCGTCAAAGAAAACTTGAAGAATCCCTTGAAATAAAATCTCTACGGCGCATAATCAGTGCCTACCTTAAGTAATTTTATTGCCTCTTTCGCTCTCAATTTCCTTTCTTTCTTTCTTTTTTGTTTTGATTGGATCTTTTGTGTGTAGTTATCCAGAGGCAGCTGAAGAGGATGTGAAAAGATACGAAAGATCGTTTAGGAAGCTTCCTCCTTCTCACAAAGTGGGTTCTTGGGGTTTTTTTTCTTTAACTGTTTTCTTGAAATCTTGAAAGATTGAGTAAAGTTATGGGAAATGAAATAGGAAGCTACTGAATTAGGAATTAAAGGGAAATGGGATTTAGAAAAAATGAATTTGCTGTACTGCTTACTTAATTTTGTCACTGATTATTCATTTTAATGGAATTAAAGTCAAGTCACTAACTACCCCACCAGGTGCATTGACTTGAAGTCACTGAAACCAGCAGCATTGTGACTGCAATATTCTTAAAGTAATTTCGGAATTGTGAATATAGATATTAAATTGCATGTTAATTTTTTGTTTTACTGTGACTAAACTGGAATTTAGGAATTTGAATTTTATTTGCAATATCTAATATTTACGGCTTGAATATACGCCAGAAAGTTTTTATTTTTGGCTCTGTTACAAGGAAAAATTTATGAATTATATACGTTCGAATATACGCCAGAAAGTTTTTATTTTTGGTCTGTTACAAGGAAAAATTTATGAAGTTGTTTTGATGATAATGGATTCTGGATAACATGGGATATATCTGTTTTTCTTAAATATATTTTACAGGGTTTGCTATCACACTACCCTTTGAAGTTTCAAAGACTAAGAAGGTAATTCCCCGAGAGTGCTATTGCTTGGTTTAGGTTTCACAAGTTCACACAGACACATGAGCAGACTCTTGGAAAGCAATTGCCTTGAGTATGGAAAAGAAATATCAAGTTAGTGTAATGTTGGAGTTTGTGAACAATCTGCTTTTTATTCTGCAGGTGTATTTCTATAAATTCGTATTTCATATTTAGTATGCTTCAGGTCAGATGAGCTCTATGTTCTGTTTATTGATTTTCTCTTTTGATGCTCTACTATACATCTTTATTTTCACATCTCCTTTTGTTTGATGTTTTAATTCTATAATATTATGTGATTTCTATGGAAAACAAATAAGGTATATTATTTTTATTATGATTAGCAATCACTTTTCAGGCATTTGAGCCACCCCTGGATATGAGCCAGGACATTGATGACTGTGGGGAATTGCACTTTGAACGGCCTCCAAATGATGGGAATGTTTGCTCTCATGAGTCTACCACAGCTAGGGGAAGTTGTTCCAAACTTGATGAAGCTTGCTGTGGAGAACCAAGCAATGTGATGAGCAAACTAGCAGAGGGTTTGACTGCCATTGAGGTCTCTGCAAAATGGCCATGTGATGTTTTGTATAGTGACTGTCTAAACTGCAAATGTTTTTTCTTCCACTTCTATGTCATTTCATTTAGAAGTTTGACTTCTGTAGATAACAACAGGAAATGCAAATTGAAGGTTGTCATGGGTCTGATGCTGGGAGCTGTCTGGCAGGCGAGGAAAATAACAAAATGGCAGCTGAATGTTGTGGGAATCATGTTTCTGATTCCAATGGAAATGTGATGGTATTTAGTTTGCTGAATTTTATCTCAAGGTTCCTTGTTTGTTTATAATTAGTCTTTGTTTTTTGCTAGATTTGCAATGAATTTTTTGAATGAATTTCTATTCAAGCCATCATTTTCTTCTTATTCTATGTATAGTGAAACTTACTTTCTTGCATATAACAATGTACATTCAGGTCCCGTCATCACCTCGTGATTGGTTGGATCCATCATTTCAGTTGCATGTTCCCCTGGTTGATGTTGATAAGGTATATTGGTTATCTTGGCGCATAAGCAAGCTTTGCTACCTTATTATATGGTAAAATATGTGAATAAACAATGATTTTTTTATATCTTAATTTTAAGTTATTTTAATTAGGTCACATGTAATTGACATGGCTGATGAAAGTCATTCTTTTTTGCCTTATATTGGTTTGATGAATCTTCAAATTTGGGTCAGAATAATTCAACTTTGAAATTATTGTTTTGGATAATTAAGATGGATCTGTCATTAATGATGATGAGAAAAAACACTGCTGAATTGGTCATGAATTAGCATATGATGTATGGGAAAAATGAAGGAAAAAAAAAAGGGATCTCACACACACAAGATACAATCAGTGTTGTCAAGAGGTGCCGAGGCGCTTACCTAGGCACTCCAAGCGAGGAGAGGCGAGGCCCCTGCGCCTTTATTAGCCTTGGGCATTGGATTTCAATGAAGTGCCACCTAGGCGAGCACCTTGTGAGTGGGTGCAAGGCGTTAAGGCTAGTGCCTGCTTGAATTTCTTCGTTTTCTGTTGGATTTTTATTTTTTTAATTGATTTCTGTTTTTTCCTATTTGTCCATTTTTTTAACTGATATTTAATTTTCCTTTTTAATCTATTCGGCTACTTACAATAAATTATCTATTTTGTTTTAAGGGTGAAAAATATAACTTTATATGACTGTTTTATGGCATTTTATATTTTCTTTTGATTTTCTAATTATCTAATCTTAATTGAGAAGATATATATATATATATATATACCTTTGTTCATTTAGGAGTGCCTAGTGCTTCAGGCATTTTACAGGCTTGGTGTCTTTTAACACTTTTCGCCTTTGACAACAATGGATACAATTGTTCTTTGTGGAATGTGTGCTTACTAATGCTGCCATTGTTTTTCCATTTTCATAGGTCCGTTGTGTAATAAGAAACATAGTAAGAGACTGGGCAGCAGAGGTAATGATGCGTCATTGCTTTCCTGTTTCTAACTCATCATCGGTGATTTCCGAGGCCAAGGTTTATGTGTTCCCACTGTTCCTACACTGATGCAGGGACAGAAAGAACGTGATCAGTGCTACAAGCCTATTCTTGAAGAGCTCAATTCTTTATTCCCTAGTCTTTGCAACAAAAGGTACATAATTTCCTTACGTGTTTACCATTTTAGGAATGCAATTTTGTGCTTAGTGATTGTGATATGCAGAATGATGTATAATCTGTCATGGAATAATGTTTTATTTACTATATAACCATAAATTCATTGCACAGTCCCCCGACATGTTTAGTTCCTGGTGCTGGTCTTGGGCGTCTGGCCTTGGAGATTTCATGTTTGGGTATGTATTAAAGATGTGAAGTTATTACAAATTCTATTTTGGCAACTTTACATGGAGCCCAACACTTATCATATGATAATGCAGGTTTCGTGAGCCAGGGAAATGAATTTTCATACTACATGATGATATGCTCAAGTTTTATTCTTAATCAGTAAGGACTTCTAATAATTTCTTGCTAATCTTACTGTATATATGCTCTTGGCAGTAATTAATCTTTGAATGAATGAATATCACTCTCTCCCTTTCTTTAGTAATGGGTAGTTTGATTGTATTAGGACCCAGAATGCAGGGGAATGGACTATATATCCTTGGATCCATAGCAATTGCAATTCACTTTCAGACAGTGACCAACTCCGTCCTGTTTCATTTCCAGATATTCATCCAGCAAGGTATTCATGCGGCACCTAGTATTTTTTTCACCTTCAAAAACTTTGCATAAAATTTTTTACAATAACTATCTGCTTGTCATTTTAAATCCATATTGACTTTTATAACAAGCAGTGCAGGGATTACTGAAGGATTCTCCATGTGTGGTGGTGACTTTGTTGAAGTCTATAGTGATCCAAGTCAAGTAGGTAGGAGAATTTAATTCCTTTTAATTGTTCATGGTACAAATAATTGCTGGAACTTTGGCCACTGAAATGGGCAGATATTTTGATTAATTTTATTCCTTGCTAATGAAACTTTTATTTATGTAATAGTGCTTTAATTTGCAGAAAACTAGACATGGTATCATAGGCACAAATTATTCTTGCAATGTACTTGCTTTGAAGGTTATTCTTATGGAGAGTATTTGTATGATATGCAGGAGTTTGGGATGCAGTTGTAACTTGTTTTTTTATTGACACGGCACACAATATTGTTGAATACATTGAAATCATATCAAGGATTTTGAAAGATGGGGGGGTGAGTTCCTTGAAGCTGTTTGAAACACTGTACATTTTCTGTTATTTTTCACCATGGAATTAGCTCACTTAGGTGATGACAGGTTTGGATAAATCTGGGACCACTCCTGTATCATTTTGCAGACATGTATGGACAAGAAGATGTAAGCTTCATTTTTCCACAATGTTCATACACACACACACACACACATATATATGGTGCTGTTTTGATGCTGGTTTCTTTCTAATGCATAAACCCCTTTTCCTTTAGGAGATGTCCATTGAACTGAGCTTGGAAGATGTAAAGTGTGTTGCGTTTCATTATGGGTTTGAAGTTGAGGTAATAATCTCAACTCCGTATATTTTTGGTTATCTTGCATGACCGAATGCTTTTCTTTGCTGACTGCATCTCCCAGTAATTTAAAATATACTGTTCTATTTATGGGCTGCAGAAAGAAAAGACAATTGAGACAACCTACACTACAAATCCTCGATCAATGATGCAAGTAAGCTTCTCAGACCCATGTTGGAAATTCTCTTTTAAATGTTTTCTCTGCCTGCTTTATAAATTTAAAAAGTGGGGATGGGGGACGGTGCCTCTCCTCCTCAAAATATCATCTGTGCAGTATTTATAGAAGTGATATAAGGACTAAGAAGCTTCTGTTGTGGCTTAACAAACTCGCTCACCAAATGTGCTTACCTATGTCATGAGTCCCCAGCATGCTAGATCCATTCTCTTTCTTTTAGGCCAATGAAGGCCACCAAATTCCCTTTTGCTAATCAGATCTAACTTTTGTAGTTACAGAGTTTACCTACAGCTGATACTGGCGTGGCATTTGCAAACATATTTGACTTTGATTTTTTTGCAGAACCGATACTTTGCTGCATTCTGGACAATGAGAAAGAAATCAGCGGCGGCGGAAAAGCATTCAACATGATAAGCAGCAGTGGAGAAGCATTTTGCATGATGATTACCTGCCTTTGTATTATGTGGTCTGCTATATTGTCATTTTTTTTTATTAGTATTGAGTATTTGGACTAGTTTGCATATACCTTGTCGATCATGTAAGTCTAGTGATTTGAAAGGATGTAAACTTGTAATTATTAGAAATCAAATCCAAAATCTAATATGTTGAACTAGCGTTTAGTATGCTCCATTGTTCCTTCATGTAAAAGCTGCATACAGAATCCAGTAAATTGGAACCAACTTCTTGAAAATAACATACAAGGTTCAAGATTAATTTGAGCGATGTGTCAAATTGTGACAGATAGAAACACTTTCCTTTTTCTTTTTGGTGCCAGGTTTTTCCTGGTTCGTAATCTCAAATTCTGGGACGGTGTTTAATAAGAGATTAATTATCATTTTTCTGCTTGATCACAGAATCATAGATTTACAAAGTTTACAACTATAAAATCCAATGTACTGTTGGGAACATGGGACTGGTCAAGTATCTGGAATAGACCAAAAGCAGTTCCTTTAAAAACATTGAAACACTCGATCTATAGGCAACGAATCGAGTGTTGTCGACAGCAGTTTCAACATCGATGGTTCTCGTTTTTTCTTCGCGATCTGTCAAGCAATAAATGGATATTCAACAACTAAAGCCCTGATTAATGGGCCAACTTCCTCTTTTCTTTTGAATTGAAAAGTACCTGGGGTTGTATAATTTGCATCATGCAAACCCAAATCAAAAAGGGCAATCATAGACTGCTTTAGTCAGTAATTATCGGTCACTCGAGACTTATATGGTCATTAACTTCAGGATCCATAAGATTAGTTGTGGTGCATACAAGTTAGCCCGGATATCCATATTAATAAAAAAATAATAATAATTATCGGTCCATAATAAAAAAGGGCAATCATAGACTGCTTTAGTCAATAATTATCGGTCCATAATGCAAAACATTTAATAAAATAAATAATAATTTGCAACGTGTCTCGAGTTAAGACAGAGATTTAGATAGTGTTTGGCAACGTAAGTATACCTGTCATGCAATTCACGTTCCCAAATATGTTTTTATCAAGTATTGAATGTTTTCTTTAACTACAAATACAACAATCGATTTATTAGCTGTTCTTTTTATTTTATTTAGTCTTTTATAATCCTCAAATTGAGAAATAGCACATCACAAAAATATAATCGGTTTCAATCACCTCACAATTTATAAAAATAAATTTAAAATCAAACAAATATTATAAAATAAAATTAATATATATATAAACCCACCTCTATGAGAGTGTTCAGGTCCATAAAGAAATGAAGGGTTTTTTTTTTTTTTTTCAGATGTTAAAGGTAATAATCTGCACTAGATACATGCATTAAATTCTATCTATAGCCTGTCCTGCAAATATACAACCCCGTGCACGCTTAGATTTGTGTATATATGACAATCATATAGTTATATATCATTTGTATTATATGTAATGACATGGATATACCATTTGATTCATGTATTAAAAATCACTTAGAAATGTGATTAGAAATGTGATTATAATTGCTTTTTAAAATATTTTTCATTCAAGCATAAAAGAGGGTGTTTTGTTGTCTTAAAAACTATTGGTCCAATCTTTTGACGCACCTATCTTGACCATGATCCGACTCTCGAGCAATCTTTAATATTCACATTAGCCCAACATCTTGGTCCTTCGTCAACCTTAAGGCACATGCGATCTCACCACGACAAGCACCTCAAGTGCTTGAACTAAGATCCAGACCTGATCTCGAGCACCTGGTGCCCTGTGCTTGACACCTACTCTTCACTTGAGCGCTGGGAATATAACCCATTCTGATTCTGGCGGTTTAGAATTGTGGTTATAATTAGAGTATAAAATATTTTTTATTTATAAATATATTAAAATAATATTTTATTATTAATTTAAAAAATTATTTCTGAGATTAATATATTAAAATGATTCAAAAACATAACAAATTAAACTTAGATACCACATGAATCCCACAAGAACCCCATAAGAACAAGTGCACTCTATGACACAGTACTAGCTCAATCTCCTATTTAGTGGATCCAATCTCTTATTCCATAGTCCTAGTTCAACCTTACAAGCCTAATTCAAGTCATACCCTCCTCTCTCAATTTTCACTTATAGATAGATATTGATGCATGTGGTTCAAATCAATCCATTATGGATATAGCTCAACTAAGCTTTATGAATAGCTTTACAATAATATTTATAAAAAGATGTAAGAGGATTAAATTTAATAAAGAGATGTATAAAATGACCAAGATTATAACTTTTGATTCAACTTTATTTCCTAAAAAACAACATACACACACATATATGAGGTAATTAGGTCTTGGCCTAAAAAGCCTGGGCTCTCGCATTTAAAGAGATCGACTGATTTCACCAAATTTAGATTACAAGACCAACTAGTTGCTTTCTAAGTCTAGGTGACCATGCTTCATCACTCAAGTTTGGTCCAGTAACTAGTATATATTTCTCTCTCTTCATATTTTTTTTGTGTTTTTTTCTCATATTTATTTTTAATTGAATTGACAATTTTAATTTGTAATACAATTTTTTTTGTCTCCCTCATATAACTTTTTATAGGAGAAACACCATTTTCTATCATCAATACTTGTATTTCTATTATACCTACCAACCCATATGAACACTAATGAAGATATATATACTTCATCACACAAACATAACATATCATCTCCTCCTTTAGTCCTGGAAGAAACATAAAATTCATGACACATCATCAAACCAATTGATAATCCATATTAGTTAGCTAATGACAAGATTTCCTCTTTTTTGAAATAAAAAATACAAGTTTTTTTGCACCTTCCTGGACCAAAAAGGAGATAATATTTTCTAGCATACCAAGTCCACAATCCTACAATGCTTATATATGCTTTCTTACGCTTTCCATATATTTTCACCTTGTTATTTTGTCTACATATATAAGTATTAATCTAAGTTTCAGAGTGTCCTACATCCCAAACAAAGGATCAGTTTTACAAGAACCACTCATTTTTTTGGTTCACTAGTTGAGGAAACTGATTTCTTTATACATTAGTGGCGTCATTTGTGAGAAATAAAATAAAAAAGCTACTTCATTTTCTTTCACTCTTAATAAAAAATATTGTCCATGATTGACAAAAATCTAGAATAAAGGAGAGTAATTGATGTCCATACCATGGGGATTCCATCTCACTTAGATCTCTAACAACTCTTTGATTAGATGCAAGTGTTCAATGATGTTGTTGTGGTGGTGCAACTATATCTTTGCACTTTTTATTTCGCATAACAACAAACACCACTAAGTGTGCAATGACAACCTCAATTCCCTAAAGAGACGAGTAGAATGCATATAAGCGAGTAATGCTCGCACTTTTCTTTTTAGAAGAAGCTATACGTATTGTTCTCATATGAGATGTTCTAAATGATATAAAATCTATGAATCCATGAGTTTGCAAGCAAGAATACAACCCCTATTAATCCCTATTTTGTCATAAAATATTGCACACTTGACTCTTTAAAAATTATGTCTTTATATATGCTAGCCTAAACAACTAAAAATAACTCACAGACCCTCAAGAGCATATAAAAAATATGAAAAGCATCATAAAGCTTGTCATATAAGACAATGATGTTATGTGCAAAGCTCTTTTAACAACACTCCATAAATTTGCTCAAGCATGGAAACACAATTTATATCTTAACTTTATTCTCTATTTTCATGATCTCAACTTCAAAATCATCTCTCATTTCAGCACAAACATTCCAAATAAAAAAAACATAACAGAGGTCTTTACTATAATAACGAGAAGATAAGAGCATTATAACCTATATTTAAAGGTTCAATATAAAGATGCTTAGTATGGAAAAACTCCTTAAGCCTATTGTCATTTAAACCTTGATTAATGGAGCATATAACATGGGGCAGAGTGTGGACGCATTCAATCCTAACATGGTGTTGTAATTAGTGATAATGATCACTAAAGTAATAATACAATGACTTAGCAGAAAATGATGTTAATTAAAAATAAACAAAGTCAAGGAAGATCCAGGATTTGAAAATAGAAAACCAAGCATTGCTAGCTATAAATGATAGGAAAAGTCTCATTGAGATTGAACATGGTGAAGGTAGCTAGCTAGTTAGAGAGAAGGGATTGTTGATGGTTAGATCATTAACATTTACGTTATTATTTCAGGTCAACAAAACCAATATTTCATATCTATCATTCAAGAGGGAGACTCCAAAAAGGCATGGAGAGTAACCTTCTTTCTTCATCTTTCCTTCACATATTGTTAGCAACTAGATTGGTGTCCCGTAATAAGTCGTGGATCCAGAGTCAACTTTTTTTCTAATTTTTTTTAAAAAAGATGATCATTTTTAAAAAATCAAAAAATCAAAAAATCAAAAAATCAAATTATTAATTTTATTAGATTTAATAAACTTAGTTAATTTAGTAATATGATTAAAAAACAAGGAACAATAGTAGATAAATTGAAAAAAAAAATGACTTGAACTAACTTGGGCTAACACGTCAAACTCATAACCGAACACTTGAAATAAAAATAACACCATAAAAAGAAAAGAGAAAAAAATAACAAATTTCAACCTCCAACAAACCCAATATTGAAAGATAAAATTATATAAAAAAAATTATAAAAAATAACCTAAAAAAGATCCAAGTCAACTCAAGTTAACCTTCCAAACCCATCACCCATGTTCTAAGGTTAGGATTACCTCATAGAAGGCAACAAAAAAAAAATCATGAAGCCAAATTTCTAATCAATAAATTCTAAATCAATAAAATGTTGAGCTATGAAATTAAAAATGAAAAATAAAAAAAGGATAAAAAATAAATAGAAACAAATAAATGGGGATCATATTTGACATAAAATAAAATAAAATACAAAATCTCAATCAACAAAATGTTGAGCTATGAAATTAAAAAAGAAAATTACAACAAAAAAGGATCTAAAATAAAATAAATAGAAATAAAAAAAATAGAGACTAGATTTAACATAAAATAAAATCAAATCAAATTTTAAAGATGAAATTAAAAAAGAATTCTAATAAAAAAAGTATTCAAAACAAAATAAAATAAATAGAAATTAAAAGAATGAAGAATACATCTGATAGGAAAAAACTGGAGGATGAAATCATAAAAAAATCATTTTTAGAAACTATCTCAAATAAAATAAATATCAATTAAAAAAATATGAATCAAATATGACATATAAAAAAAATTAAAAAAGAGTGAAATTGAAAAAAAATAT